ATTACAAACCTATCTGACTACAAGTTTGAGTAATTTGATTTTTTATTTTGCATTTTTTTAGAGTCTTTTGTATGATTTAGAGAGTGTACAACTGGAATTTCCCTCGGAAGCTTAATGGCTACCAACAGCATTTGGATTTAAAATCCATTAGAAATACTATTTTCTGCTGAAACAAGGGACTCTCATTCTTTCCATAGCATACCCATTGCATGACACAYTCCAAAAGCATATTTAGAATCAGTATAAATAGTCACTTGCTGGTYGCGTCACCATGAGGCTGCTTTTGCTAATTCAATTAATTTGGCTTCTTGGGCCATCACCAAGGGTTGTAAAGGCTCAGTTTGAAGTACCTCAAAATTTCTTACCAATGCGTAGTCCATATGTTGTTTTCCATTTACATAGTAGGAAGATCCAATGATGAGGAGTATAAGACCTAAGGTCTCTAGAGGGTGATTTTGCAGATCTGTCCATAGCTGGCTGGAATGAAGCATTTCATAACATTAATAATGAGGCTCACTCTTRGAAGGAACAAACAGTAAAGTTGCTGAGAAGCATGACATCCTTTTAGAGTAATAGTAAGTAAATTAATGATTTAAAATCCAGAACCATTTGTGTTTTGAGGGGACAATGTTTGTGTAACATGTTTAAGAATCAGTTCTGCTTTGGGTCACACATAGTTATGTGACCTAGAACCAATATTCCTTTTATAGCTTGGAAAAATCCTTTCTTTCTCCAGACTCCAATTCCACCTCCTTAATAACTTCTTTCAGTGGTTTACTTAACTGCCCTAGCTCTGGTATTTGGGGTATTCAGTACCCTATCGTGCCTAAAAAAAATCCTCACAATTGTTTTCTTTGTTGCTGGTCAGAGTATTTCTGCCATAACCTTGGACTTATTTTGGGTCTACTTTATCCTTTTGAGTTATACTGGGAAGAAGGATAGTCTTTCAAAGCTGGAGGGGGGTTGCTTCCCTTCACTGGTTGATGTGTATGGTTTTTTTGGTGTGGGTTTTTTGTTGGGGTGGGTTTTTTTGTTTGTTTGTTTGTTTTAATTATTATTATTTATGGATTAAGCTTCAGCTATCAGTTCTACTTCAGTGCTGATTTCCACAACTTTGTGAGTATGGTTTTCAACATTTCTAGTATTTTTGGCTCCTTTTGTAAGCTTTTGGTGGTCACACTCTAATAGGTCAGTCCATTCAGGCAACAAATGTAAATCCAAATCTAGGGTCTGTAAGAGGTCTCTTTGGGGAAGGTCACACATGACTTCCTAACATGCTTATTACAAACACTCTTATTCCCATTTGCTCTTTACAAGAAGTTCACTTCCCTGAGCTTATGAATTGCATGCCTGCTGCCGCCCTCCTAATGCTCCTTACATTAGGGAGTGGGAGAAACAGCAAGGTTTCTATTTTAGTTTATAGTCACTGGTAGCAGCTGCAAGCTGGCTTCATTGTGGTGTTTGTCTAAAGCCAAGGCTTTCTGCACAAAAACTTTCGAAACTAAACATTTAAAGAAGGTCACACTCTCAGTAGGGGCCGGTGAAGAGCCACAAACTGTAGATACCTCTTTCAAAGCAAAAGTCTTACTTGTTTGGGGATAGATGATATGGATTGAGAAACTTGCTGAGAGCTAGACAGCAACACTGGAAAGGCAGTTAGATTTTGCTTCATTGTTTTAAAACATTCCTTTTTATACATAGATATCCAGAGTCTGGAAAACCAATCAGTGCAGGTCTTAAAAATACAAGTTCTGCTTTTCCAATTGCAAGTTCTGTGGCACATGCTTATTAAAAACACTCGTGTAGAAAGTCTTCTTACCTAAGTGCTGCAGTGTTTGCAAAGCTGATACTAATAGTATTRTGGTGGGGGAAATTAAAACTACTGAAGTACGTTTGGTCTGTATGATTTAGAGTTTTAACAATGTCTTGTAAAACTGAGGGTTTTTTTCTGTAGCACTTTCTAATTCTAGTATGTGGTAATTTTAGTATTTACAGATTCTTTCCCTCTAATAATGTCTCAGCTGCTGCTTCTGGGGGGGAAAAAAAAAAATCCGAGTCTGTTGAAACACTTTGAGCATCAGATTTCTTTTCTGATTCCTCATTTTAGAAAGTAAAGTGGTGAGCAACTGAGCCAACAGATTGGGCTGCTGCAGCAGCCTTCCAGAAAAGTTATGGTGGAGAGTGGTGGGACACATATTCAGGTGAATACAGATTACAGATATAATTTTAAGACACAGGAGAACCACTTTAAAGAGAGGCTAAACTAGGTAACTAGGAAAGAGTGATCTTCAGTTTTCAGCATGATATTTGTAAGGTTGCATGCAGATAACCCCCACAACTCCAAAGTTTGTGGACTTTTTTGTAATTTTGAAGAAAACAAAACTGTATACCAGTCTATATGTGCAAGCAAGCAGACAAAATTAGGGTGCACTTGGAGAGGTAATTAACAAACATTCAAAGTGTAGCCCAGTTCTGTTTATGTTTTTATATCAGTGCTATACAAGGTTGCTCATACTTGGTCTTGATTTTGTTGCCTTGTTTTTTTGTCCCCAAAAGGTACTTGACCTCTGTAAATTAAACTGTGCTAGGACATACACATAGCAGAGGATTAAAATCGTATAACTTACGCTATCACTGCTGCCAAGCTTCAGTTTGCACTTACAAACCTGCAGAGCTGGAAAGTTGGACTGTTTTTTGAACTGATTTACAAGCAGGTCCCACAAACTTCTGCCCTGAGGGCGACTTGTCTTACTAGGTGCTGCATACTGCTTTAATCAACTATTTCATGTCTGTCAAACCAGTTCAAGATGGTTTTGTGGCACTTATTGCCTATATAAAATAGTCTTTCTAGTGTTTAAAATCCATCTGCAGTAATTAAAGCCACCTACTAGAATCACAGTGAAATAGTCTTGCACTGAAATTAGAGTAGAACAGATCGCTTTGTCCAGTACACTCAGTGCTGGTGACATGTAATACACTGGCAAATATGGCAAGAAGACTGTTTTTTAAGTACTTCTGAGTGATTCTAGGTAACAGAACTAGACACTCTCTTTTCAGAATGACTTCTGCATCTTCTTTCTTTTAGCATTGCTTTGCTAATTCTAAGGAGCTCTTTGAAGCTCAAGGTGAGATTAACACTAAGAACRTAGAGATGTGTGTCCATGACTACTGCATACCTTTCCAAAGGAATCTTTTTTGAAAAACTGATGCTTCTGATAGCCAATGAGATGATCAAAAATAAATAAAAATGTAGTCTTCTGCTGCGTTCAGTTGTGCATTCAGATGCAACCAAATAACTAAAATGAGGTTAGAAATTAGTAGTCCTTTTTTCCACAGCAAGATTCCAATTTGCAATTAACACTTGTATAGTTGGTAGCACAGTTGAGATGTGTGTAGAGCAGATGTTTCCCAGCAACATATACAATTCTGTGTTTTTTATGATTTTCCTTTGTGTTAAGGAATGATTATCATGATTTGAAAAGCTTATTCAGAAACTGATTTCAAATGTTGTCTTTTATCCAGAGATTGCATCATAATTTGGCAAATGCAAATATGCTCACTGGTCTAAGGATCTCCAAACCTTGAGAAGAGAGAATTACTGTAATGAATTATGTCAAATTGTTTGCAGTTTAAAGAAAAGCAAAGCTTGAGTTGCTTCTGCACCCAAATAAAAATATCTTTTCGTACGACTGTCCTTACTGCATAATAAAAAGCTTTATTTACCACTTATTCACCAAGTGAATAGTTCTTTGAAGCTTTATCTTTATAGATAGTGTTAGACTTCATCCTCACCACCTAAGCTTTGATCAGAAATCTTACATGGGTATTTCTATGGGGCTATGAATTAATTTTTATCTTAATATTGTGACATCAAATACCCTTTTTTCTCTCTATATGCTGGCAATAGAGACAAAGTAGCCAGGACTATCATTTGTCAACTAACCTGAGTTCAGTAATTTGCTCAGCATTCCACAGGTACTTCTCATGGAATCAGTAGCTCAGTTTTGTTTGAGACCAGCCTTTCTGTTTCTTGCTTGATTTACTTACACTATTAACTGGAAAAGGTGTTGGTTTAAATATAGAGGCCTAGCAGACAAAAAAAGGCTTGCTTGCTTCTGGAGAGTTTTGTCCCAGATAGAGCACAGAATCCAAGAAAATGGGAAAGTAAGCACATAAAGAACCTTAATCTTCTGTYAGATGGATACAGGTTGAGTGGAAAACCTCAATTTATTCTCTTAAAATGCCCAATTTCTTTCCATTCATTCTGCCCAACCTGATCCTCTTCAACCCCAAACAATGGCTGAACAAAACTCTAAAAGCTTAGATATGTTTAATCTTGGAAAGTGTTTCTATTCTAGAATTAGTGGTGTTAAAGTCTTTCTAGTTACTGCTTGGGTTTTGGTGAACAGTCCTTTCTMCTCAGAACAGCAGTGTAAGGAGGTGACCCTGCTTGAGTTGTTTGATACCATGGCTATGAGCTTAGAGAATCTGAAGCCCAGTTTTCTAAATTGTCCTCATCTGGCAGGAGGTGTGCTTTTCATGATCAACACCTGTCCTTCTCTTTCCCTCACCTTCACTGCTTCTGCCGCCATCTTTCTAATGGAAAAATGAGTTTTTTCCATGGAAGCTTCTCTACCTCATCCTGTACTGCACTTTCAAGATCCTTGAAAACATGAAGTAACGGTTTTTGTTCTCCTTTTCTGTGACTTAATGTGAACAAAATGAGATTTTTTTTAGACTATCTTTTCCCTGACCTATGTCAAAATTGAGAGTGTTTTTGTAGGTTCRTCAAAATGAAAAGGAAAATAAGTAAGTGTCTTTCAAACAAGCAGTGTCTGGCAACATTAGCTATAAGGACTTTTAATATTTTGGTGGACTTGGGATTGGAGACAGTAAAGGTAAATGCTGTGAGGTGTAATCAACTCATTTCAGTCAGTAGTTTGGTAACTGCAATTGTGTTACTATTGAGCAGTCAGTAATCTGTGTGTGTGTTTGCATAGGCCCGAAGCGGACACCCAGGCGGGGAGAACAACAAGGATTCAGTAACAGAGCTGCAGAGGGGCAACAAGACAAAACTGAATCGAGACCACCTTTCAGGGAATACCGTCCCTATGGAGCCCAAAGACAAGTAGAATTAACAGTGGAAAGGTATGTATCATGCAGGGAGAAATAAGGGCCCCACAGAGGATCTGCACAGGGTGGGAAGAAAAAGTAACTTACTTTACACCACAATAGTTGACATTTAACAAGTTGCCTGAAATTTTTAGCTGTTGCATATAAATCTTGATGTGGATGGTGGAGCTGTTGTATAATGAAGTTAGGAACATTTGACAGTTTTATAATGTTTTAATTTCTGTAATGTTTTCAGTCTTACCAATAAATAGCTGATCTTTCTGTTCTTGTTTGCTGTAATAATTTCTCCAGAGTTGTGCATTTTTTAATGACTAAACTAAAACAACTGTAGTGTGTGCTGTATAAAGATGGATTCTAAAAATTGTGTACTAGCTGTTATATACTTATGTGTCCTACAGCTGCACAGATGTAACAATATGATTTTTTTTTCTTCTTGTTAACTGTTTTATAGAAACAAAAATCTGACCTAGTTATTGTCTTTTTTAGACCACTGGAAAGATTAGACTGTGACAGACCAAAAAGAGGTCGTGGTGGAGGAAGAGGTGGAATGCGAGGTAGAGGAAGAGGTGGTGGAATAAATAGAAGTTTTGATGGCTTTGACCAGAGAGGAAAATGGGAACTTGAAAGACAAAGTAGAAATGATAAAACGTAAGTGTTCTGTATGGTTTTTCTTACTTAGTATATGAGTAAATAATAGTCAGCACTGCAGTACTGTCCTTTAGGTATGCTGTTCTGTTCTACAATATCCAAACTGGCTGGCAAAAAGTCAATACTGRTTTTAGTTTGAGAGCCTAACAAAAAAGGAAAAAGAGCTCTTAAACTCCGTGAATTGTTTTCCTTTCTAGAGGAGTCAAAGCAGATGACAGAAAGGGTGGTGGAGGGAGCTTGCAACTGCAGAACAGTTAAAGATGATATGAGGTGCATCTATAATTTTCATAATTTTCTATAGCCTACCTTACATCATCATTTTCATCAGCTTCATGTCCATTTTGAGTTTCATAGACATTGCTTTCTTTTATTTTCATGATTAATGCATTTTAACAGTTTTTTAAACTTGGCTCTTTCATGATGGTGAGWTTAAATTGAAGCAAAAGCATGATGGTGTTTGTTCACTTAAGACTGCCAGAATCTTTTGACTGCAGCCGTATTGTCTTTTAATGGAAATAAGTTACTTTTTTCTCAATAGCAATTAAGTGGGACTCTGGTATTTAATGGACTTGCTCAAAATGCTGATTATGCGATTCAAATTCTGTTAATGGGCTTATAGTCTAGTCTCTTTTTCTTGGGTTTTGTGGGTAATTGCAAAACTGTAGTACAATTCAGTGTGTTTTGGAAGGTAATATTTAGCTGATTGTACCACTGAAGTATGTTTTAAAGTGCTAAGAAACTAAGAAATCAGTAGCATAATATGATTAATGGCCACTTTGATTTAAAACAAGTCAGGATTGTTCCATTCAGTTCTGTACATCTCTTAGCGGTATTGGTTTTTGTTCAGATTTGCAGAATCTCACTGATTATGCTGGCTTTTGTCCATTCTTTGCACCAAGGAATATGTTACTCTTTCTAATAGCTTTTTTTGTCATATACATCTTTAATTGAAGKCTGATAAAGGAGGGAGAAAAGGCACTGCTTTGAACTTATAGCAAATATCTTTGTCTGTGTACACATTAATTGACAAAATAGTTTTAAAAATAAAACTTCCTTTTAAAAAGCAATCTAGGTTTTAAACCTTAATGTGTTYAGACAATCATGCTGCAAGGTTGAAAAATACAGCCTTGATGAATAATTTTCRGGTCTTGATTCAAATTCTTCTGAATGGTTTTACTAACTTTTCTCACTTCTACAGAATTTCATATTAGGAGTAGATTGGTTAGATACTCAGGCTTTTCAAAGGATCGGCTATAACATAGTTCTGAACTGATAATTTTTTGCTTTTGGTCAGATAGTTTTGTACTACCTTCTGTCAGATATCAGAGATGCTTCGTAAAATTACAAGGCATTCAGTGGCCCTTATATTTTTTTCTCTCTAGTTAAGTTTTGGGTTGGTGTGGTTTTTTTTTGTTGTTTTCTTTTTTTTAGTTCAGCAGCATCAGAACTTATATCAATGCCTTCTTGTGAAGGGACATAAAATTAAAGTGGAAGAGACATAAAATGAAAGCTCTCTGAACAATTCTTAAAGCATGTCTGTGCCCTAATTGTGCTGATTATGCATTGAAGCTAAAAGGTTTTAATTTGAAATGTGTGTGCTTGCTAGTGGAATGAAAATAAGTTACTGCTGTCATTTGACAGTCCAAGTTACCAAAAATACACACTTTTATTCTTTAAATGAAGCAAAAAGGCAAACCCAAACATCAATGTTATTCTATAATGATTGGCATTCYTGATTGAGTTATTTCATCTTCATAAACTCTTTTCAATTCTTTTGTTTAAAGAAAATAGAAGTTGTATTTTCCTAATATTCCTTTTGTTAGTTGCTCAGCTAGTTACTACATAGATCTTTCTGCTTATAATCAGAGTTTTCCTTTTTTTTCCTTACCAAGAAATTCTGGGAAAAAAAGTGATTTATTGATTCATTTTTTTTCTAGTGTGACTCATGAAKACTTTGTTGTGGTTTTTTGTGTGTGTGTGTTTTGTTTGTTTACTGTTTTAGTGGGATGGAACAAACTGCACCTATGGAAGAGACTATGGAAACTCCTGAACAGCCAGGGACATCTGAAGGAGAGCCTCTGAGCAAGTACAGTCAGACAAATATTTTCTTTCTAAATGTGAAGGGAACAATTAATTCTTACTGATATACTTGTGTTGAGGGGCACACTTGAAATGTGAACAGTTAAATTTTGCTAGTGCACATATTTAAAAACAGAAAGGCTTTGTCTGTATTTGTGAGTACAGAAAATTCATCCCTAATTCTGACTAAAGCTTCATTTATACTGTATATTATGTATTTATACATAATATACATATATTGGAGATTGCATYTATTTGCACAGTGATGTTTACAACTTCCTAAGATTTGGTGATCATTTAAGGAGGAGCTACATGTTACATTTTACTTTTTAAACCTGGCTAATTTGTAAAAACTACCATGCTGTTTGAAGTTCTCTGAGAAAAGGCATTCAAAGTGCCCATGCCATTGTAAAAACATTTTAAATACTCTGAGATATTCTAAGTCTGTATTTGTGAATCACTAATACCATTAAGATATCATCTGTTCTTGTGAGGGCATGGCAGAACTTGGACGAACTTTCTGGAAATACAGTGAGACTTAGAAGTAGAGAAATTGAGAGAGAAACCTGCCCCTTTCATTCTAAGTCTTTTGGCTTTCATTCTAATCAATGTCACAACAAATAACTGAAATTACCGAAAAAGTAACTGGGCAATCTTGTCCAAGTAAGAGACTTAAAGAGCAAGTGGTGAACATTTCCGAAGGAGTGAAAGATGGTCAGTGCAGTATGTAAACCTCTTCTGTGGCTGTGAAACCTTTTTTACCTCATGATGCAGCTCCAGTTATTAGTGATGTGTGTTAATTTGTTAATTATAGAGTTAACTAGTCTGCAAAACCCGTTTCATGTGTTCATGCTGATTAACCCTGTAAGAAGTTCAGTTCATACAGTTTTGATTCTTTTCTTTATARAGTGTCTTTTTATATATAGCTAAAAGTGTATACACATGGGGAAATCTGTCTTCGAATGACTTATGACTGAATTTTCAAAAAAACTGTTTCCAGATGTCCAATAATGTCAAAAATGCAGTAAATATGAGAAAGTTATTCAGTTTTTTTTGTTTTKTTTTTTTTTTTTTAATTTTGTCAATTGCTGGTACCATTACTTGTTTTGCACTTGTATTTATTCAATTCAAGCTTTTTGTAGATATGTCCCAATATCACTTCCTTGTAGAGCATAAGGCATGACAAGTGTGTACGATGGAAGATGCCTCTGGCAGAATCTGCCAGTTGTCTTCAGGTCTTTCACCTTTCTTAGAGATCACTAGGTATTCAGTCAGAGTGGGAGTGTTTCTGGAGATTTTACTCCAGAAAGTTTCAGGATTTTTTCTAAGATAAATTTAGGAATAATCCACTAAAATTCATTTGATTCAAAAAAGCAAGTAATCTGAAAKTGCAAAATTCTGTACTCTAGTCAGTTCAGTAAATACTATCCCAAAGGCTTACAAACCTCTATACGAAACATGAGTTAAATGTATCTCACTGCACTTACCTTTTAGGACATGTCAGCTTGGTGACCCTATGTATTTTAAATAGGAGATACAGTGTGGAGACCTAGTGCCTAGGTCATTAGGGATGGTTGTATGGCATACGCCTTAACAAAATGGAATTGTTTTAGTGTTTAAAAGCAAAAGCTGGTAGGATATGGTGTTCAGGCTTCAGGATATATTTACAGGTCTCACATGCTTGAATTGCCCCTGCTGCCCATATAACACAAATTAGACTACTGTCTGCTTTTCTTACACCCTCAACAATTGTAAAGGCTTGCCTGGGCTGCTACTAGGATCTTTCTCAATTTGACTCTAAAGTGCAGTGACTGCAAGGAAACAATTTATTTTCTACTGCTTTATTGCAGTTGTGTGCTTGCATTGAGAAAGAGTTGAAGACTTGGGTTTGTTTCTTCTCTCATTCTCTTTCCTGTTGTAACTGTTTCCATTTGAAATTAGAAGTAAAAAAATATAATCCTGGAAGTTAGGAATAACCCATCTGCATGAAGATGCTGTGTAGCTTTCTGGTGTAGCACTGGTTAATTTCAATGCAACTCTGGAAAAGAGGTTCTATGGGCTTCTGTAACTTCTAAAGTTTTGCCTTAAGATTTCAATTTTGCCATTCTTGGGCTTCTATTTGCAGAGTATTGTGGGATACAGGTTTCTTTAATACTTTTGTAATATAAATGAAGTTGTTTTTTCCCATATTCCTCAAGATTTCTGGAGTGTGTCAACAATATTTATCTCTAGTTATGTGATTCCAAACAGCATGCTTTTAGTTGAGGGGTTGTTTTGCTGCAAAAGCAAAACCTAACCTTAACCCTTTATAAAATACACAGGTAGTACAGAAATATAAACTTTCTTCACRGCTGTCTTCTGTTGAACTTTTCTTCACAGTCCAAACAATGTAACACACTTATGTTGGTCAATTCAAATTAGTAGACTTTTTGGTTTTATTCAGTGCAACACATGGGCTAATTAATTCCTATTCCTAAAGGTATTTGTAAAGCTTGTATTTATTCTGTGGCATTTTCTTATTTTTTTCTCACGTGATAGTCTTTGTTTTTGGTGGAGCTGTATATAATTTTGGTTATATAGTAGGGAGCTTTAACAATTTATCCTAAAGGCTTTCTAGCTATTTATCTCATTTATTTATTTGTTTTGTTGTTATTTGGTTTGGKKTTTTTTTTGTTGTTGTTTATTGGTGACATRAAGCTAATCATACATCAGGCTAGAGCTTCATAGATATTTGATTCAGTGTTTTTCTTCTATAGTAACATTGTGTCATTGTTGTTTGGTCTTACCTTGTCTAAATTTTACTATAGTTGGTGGTAATGCTCTTGTAAACAATGTTTAGTGGGAAAGCTTCATGTCACTAACTTCTTGATAAAAGCTGGTTAGGCATTTGCTTTGTGCAGCTGAATAACACAAAAACTGATCTAAGACAGATCATTATTTTTAATGTTCTGAAAATAATACCTGAATAGCTAAGCTAAATGGCATTCCTTTCCATTTGCATTTATTCTGGTAAAATAAAAAGGTGTTTTGTTTACTGTGCGCATAGTAATCAAGGCGTAGTTAAAGTGTTATGGTCATCTGTTGAAACACTGAAGCAGCAGGAAAGATTACTTGAAGGCTCTCATTTAGTTATTAGGTAGGATTTTGTTTGTTCACGTCCAGAGGTTGTGCTTAGTTGTCTGGCAGTGTTTTCTAAGCATCATTGTTAGTGTGCCAAGGAGCTTATTAATTTGATTAATGAAAATGTAAATGCTTATACCAAGCACTTACTAAAAATGTGTACGGTCACAAGGTAGAAACTAATGCAGACAATGCACTTCCATGCTGGCTTGGTGCCCAAAATAACTTGCTGCAATTGAATTTCTATCCAAAATGTCGGTTCCTGTTGCTGTGCTTCACTCATAGGTTTTCCCCTTGGGAGTCTTGACATCCTAAAACAAATTTGTACTGCTAATAATGCAGCAGTTAAAACCATCCTTTGGAGTAAAAATCAAACTGTACTTTGCAGTTGAAAAGCCCAAATATTTGCCGTGTAAATCCACAAGGATTTCCTTTGGAACTGGCAAGTGGGTGTTTTTGATGTGTGTGTACTTTTCAAAGCAATAGTTCTGTTTGCTTTTTAAGAGATCAGGTTGCTGTGTGGTCAAATGTCCTCCTGTTATCTTACAATCATAGCAATTCAGACCTGAAAGGGGTCTTTCTGATCCAGGGCATGACCAATTTTAATTGTTGTTTCTCATAGCTGTCTAATTGATTTTAATGTACGCTGCTGATGGAGATTCAATGTCCCCTCATGGTCTTTCTAATACTTAGAAAATAGAAGTTGCTGTATGAGGTTCTTTTTCTCTTGGATGTCTTGCCTTAATGTCATGGTTATGCAAAACTTTTTTTTTAGCATTATATATGCTTCCTTTGCACAACTTTTAAAGGCTTCCTATGTACATCGTGTGTTTTAGTCCTCTGTCTTGCAGTGCTATTGTGGACTTCTCACCTGTTCCCACAGATGATGAGTGGAAAAGAAGTTTTTTCTTATGTATTTTGTCTTATCTCTGCATATCTTACAGGCATAAAATCTTCTACCTTTACAGTTCAAAAATATGCAAGGCAGTCTCTGACATATTCCATATTACTTCTCAAAAACATATCATTATTGTATTTGGTGACAAATGAAAATTTGACTAAGATTAATCTGGTTTTACCAAGTGATTAAATACTGTCTCCTTGTCTGTTACTACATCGGACAAAAAAATTCAAGGAAGCATTTTGTGAAATTAACAATGGGCATATTAATACCTGGAAGATCCCGTGGTGTGATCATCCTATCTTTTTGATGACTGAAAGCTGCATTGAAGCATGAATTCATCTCATAGTGTCATTGTGCAGTGAAGTCAATGAAACCATGCAACTGAGATATTTTTAAAACTGCTTTATGTGCTTTTTTTTTTATTTTTTTTTTTACTGTGTCTGTATTTACTAGGGGTAGATCCACTATTAAACTTAGAGCTAAGAATATGCCAGATCAAAACATAGAGTGATTTTGTCTAGAATCTAAGTGCTTGAATTTAGGATGAGACTGGATGAGTACTGATAAGAGGCTGCAGATAGCATTTGTTCATATGGCTGATTTTAAACAGTACATAAACACACACTCTAACTTGCATTAATGTAAAACTATCACACATGAAGTTACTGTGGGGAGTAAGTGAAATTAAGGACAATAATTTGGTGAGAAACATTCTAAATATTTTGTTTAGTATCCTTACTTTAGAGATTAGTGTTCTGGCTTATCCTGGCACGTTGCAAGCTTATGGTTTTTACTTTAAAACTATGAACCTCTAGAATTGGTGAAGGAGAGCCAATGGAAGAAGTGATTCAAGAAATGACGTTAGATGAGTGGAAAAATCTTCAGCAACGGAATCGACCAAAGCCTGAATTCAACATCCGGAAGCCAGAATCCACTGTTCCTTCCAAAGCAGTGGTGATTCACAAGTCAAAATATAGTGACGATGTAAGCACTGCCTCAGGAATTCTGTAAACTCTCCTTTATGCCTAGGGCTAGGAAACTGTCTCTATTATTTTCCTACTAGTTTTATTATAATCTGAATAGGCAAGAAAACTGTGTCTAAGCTTTATTACTGTAATGTCACGTGCCCCCAAACTGGCTTTAAACTGTTAATTTTTTTGTCTCAGATCATCACTCCTATTTTCCATGCAAATGCATAATATGTCAAGTTGTTCTACCTTATGGCTCAGCCTTAGCAATATAGAATCTGCGTTCTTGCTGCTGCTACCTGTATAGGTCTCTGCTAATGCTGCTAGAAAAACTTGGTTCACTATACACTTCTGCGATTTGAATCCTGTTTAGCTTACTTGCTAATATGCATTTGCTTTTTAAGAGATCAAGTTGCATTTGCTTTTTAAGAGATCAAGTATCTCACTGGGCACTTGGACATATGAATTTTTTTTTTTTAGTTTTTTTTTAAATCTTTTTTGTTTGTTTGCTTTGTGTTTTATTTCCTTTTTTTTGGTGGTTGTTTCTTTGTTTTGGTTTTTGGGTCCTGTTTTTTAGAACTAACTCTGGAGAGGTTGTGGTGTTGTAGTGTGACCAAATGCCTCCCCCCCCACCCCCCCTGCCCTGCCCCCAAATTTTATTCCATGATATTATTTAGATTGAAATTTCAGGGAGAACTACTAATTCTGAGGAGATTGGGGAAGCTTCTTTCAGATTCTAGCTTACTTAGATCATAGATTCTGGGGGTTATACAAGTACATTCTTACAGTCTAGCATGATRGAATTTTGATCCTTGAAGTCTACAGGCATTTATGAACACACATATTATCATCTCTTTAGTTATAATATTAACATCAGAACTTGCTTAATCACTTTAGATCATTGAGCCTGAATTCTTTTTAGTGAGACTGGTAAGGTCAGACTGSTAAGCTCTTCCTTTTCTGAGGGAGGTCATGGTAGGAGTGGGGAGAATATCTTCCACAAACTCTGAAGAGAGAATACAGGTGTGAGAAGAGTACATACAAGTTTCTGTTCCTTTTGCCTTTAAAGTTTCTGTTCTGGTAGTATCAAGAGACCTTGTTAAGATGAACACTGAACAGGAGGTACAGGAACTGTGTMACAGAGGCAGGTGAAATCCCTGAGACCTTGAATAACTGATTCATCATTGCATGGGATGAGTTAAGGTTTACTTACCATTACTACAGTCCACATTAAGGTTATGTTGGGAAGCAGTCTGACATCCACTAGCTACTAGGAGCACACAGTTAAAACAACAGTAATCTTATAGCTGCAGGCATGTAGATGAATGCATTAATAAGGCAGTTTTTGACCTTTTAATGGCCTTTTAACCATTACCTGGAGATAACTGTAGAAGTAAATACCTTAGGTCTGATTCTCTAGTCCCTTTGAAAATCTCCCAGATTATATTTCTGAAAAACCTCTTTAGTATTACAGAGCTGGTACAGAAGCTTTTATTGCCAGGAATCTCTGAGCCAACAAAGAATTATCCTAAGCATCTGGGAAGGTGCAATTACTTCACCTGTGTTAAAATCCTGTGCAAGTTAAGGACTGTCATCTATTCCAGATGCCATCTTGGTTCATCTACTGCTTAGTCTCTAATACAAATGTGCATGTGTGTCTGTCTGGGAGGGGAGAAGCTCATACATGGAAATAGTAGGCTTTGACCAGATCTTCTTTTCAGTTGCAAAAGGAAGACTCTGAAGATGATTCTCACGTATTTCGAAAACCAGTGAATGATATAACATCTCAGCTGGATATTAATTTTGGGAGTTTTTCTCGTCCTGGCCGTGGATCAAGAGGAGCACGAGGTGGTCGTGGTCGTGGCAGAAGACCTGAAGAGACAGGACCTCAACGAAATGTAGTGGTAATAGATTTTATTGGTGKTTTTGTTTTTTGTTTGTTTTGGTTTTGTTGTGTTGTTGGGTTTGTTTTGTTTTTGTTTGACTTTTTTTTTCTGTTATTGATGGTGTTTGTGTGTATATCCTGCCCCTGTCTGTCAGGAATTTTGATTTCTGTAGCAACAGACTTGTTTCTTATTTCTGTCTCATAGTATGTTGTCCTGCTCGTATTGAGTTCCTGGCCTATATTATGTTACTTGAAATTAAATACTGATTCACAAATCAATATTTAATTAACTCACAAATCTTTACACACATGTTTCAAAAGGTCTGATTACTAGATTCTCTAATGGTAGCTAAAGGATAGGATGCAATGAGGATTTGTTTCTGCAATGACGATATAAATTGGGAAGTAATTAAAATGACTAAAGGCTTCTCTTCGAAAAAATTCAGTATAGTACAATAATACTTTGATTACTGACTGTGAGATCAGTATATCTGTGATCCTACAGAATGATTCATGAGTTCAACATAACCATTATAAAAAAACTTTCCCTCACCTTCTCCTTTGAAAAAAAAAAAAAAAAAAAGCATTTGCACACTGGAAAATGACACCTTTATTCTTTGTACTAGCAGAAGCTTTACTGTGACTAAAATGCTTTAACGTTGTAAACTTTCAGAATAATATGGAAGTGTTGATGCATTTGTTTCATCTGAAAGAAAAAGGTTCTTTACAGTAACAGATCAGAGAGATTAAAACTATAGCCCAATGTTTGGTAGTTCTAGACTGTAAAAATGTAGTAATGCTGCTACTAAAAATATGCAGTATTTTGCTTGAGACTGCTTTACTTTTTTCTGCRTTCAGTGCTGCAGAACTTGTGACTTTCTGGTATCCAGGCAGTAGATTAGCGTTATAAATACGTTCACACAGAAAGAAGTTATAGTAGTCATAAGTCCTGAAATAAATGTTTAGCATATGGGATAGTGGTGGATACAATTTGAGTAGTAGTAGCATCTGAATAGAGGAAGGAGCCCTTTTGAGGGTAAAATACATATACATAGCTGTCAGATACTTTTGAAATGCATCCTTTTTTTATAAAACTACTTTTCTTACGTGATAGGTGCAGCTTGTTGCTCCAAATCCTGATGATCCTGAGGATTTTCCGGCTTTAGCTTGAAGAGCCATCATGAATGGTGATATCTCAAAGTCACTTTGTAACTATGAAGAGACCAGTTTTATGCTGGTGTGTATTAAGGAAGCCTGTTTCCTTCTGGAAAGTTGTTTTGGTGTTTGGTGTGGAATGATTGCAGCTGTCTGCTAACAGAGYTGGGTTCTGGAAATATGGGTGGATAGTATCCTGTCACAGATTCCAATGTCTGCCTCCATTTGTGAAACCTGTGGGAGGGCTTGCAATACTTTCCTACTAGGCTTCAAGAGAAGTTAAAGGGAAGACTGTTTAAAAATGTATATATAGAGATTATATCAAATTCTCCACGACACCATGGTGAAATGTAAACTATATGACACAATCTACAACTGGGTTTGGGACTTATTTACACCATACATTTGAAAGATCTTATTTTGAGTGAAGTGTATATGTCAAACAGTTGCAAGYTGCAGTTCTTCAGAGTTTGGAAAATAAAGGAAAGTGCACATTGGTTTGGGTTTGAGGTATTATTTTAAGAAGCCAGAGAGGTAGGTAGAAGCTTTTGCTATTTGGCTGTAGTCTGGGGGGGAAAGGGGAGAAAAAACCCCAAACAGCAATCTGTACTCACCATAAAAAAATGAACCTCTCTCTCAATGGAAGTGATCTTTGAAATCAAGGCAGCACAGATGCTTTGAATTGACACATAACCATAAGTCCTACATCCATAACAATATATAATCTGCAATTACTTTGAAGATAAATAGGTATTTTGATTTAAATACAGAACTAAATTATGAAGGAAGCTTTTAATTTTAGCAGGAGCAACTACAAACTAAAATGTTTCATGCCTTACCAAGAAGTTCATGATGTTGGGGATGAAGTGCAATGTTCCTTCATTGCAGCTTTCACATACTTGAGCCAGATTTTCTAACTTGTTTCCTGTCCAAGGTGACACTCAGAGCCATTCTAGGGGATCTGAGAGAAACAAGAAAATGGTGCCCAGAGGTGATGGCAGAAAGACGTGAGAGGACAAGCATATTGGACATTTTGGAAGTAGCTGTCAGCCTCACAGAAGTCTTCAAATGCTTGGTCAACTTGAGCACATTATTTCAATTTACTGGGAAAGCAGATGTACATAAACCTTCCACTTTTTCCAGTTCTGTGCCTCACTTCTAAGCAGTCTCCTTTGAGAGCAAATAGTGGATAAGACTTAGAAGAAAAAGAAGTTTTGCTTTGGAGTAAGCTCTAAGTACTCAGAATCTTAAAAGTTTATTATCACTGATAAGGCTTCACTCAAATAAGATGTAATCATCCTAGAAAAACTTTTCTGCATGGTCCAAACAGATGGTCTGCAGACTAGTCAGCCCAAAGGAGTTTTTTACAGTGTTAAATTACTTATATGACATGAGAATTTGTGTTCCACAAAAAATTCATCTTAATGGCATAGAGATGTTCTGACTTGCAGGAAGAATGTGCGAAGTGCAGGTGTTAGAGGAATTTGAGGAAATAGTGGAAAGAGTCAGAGGAAATAGTGCTGCTGTTTGAGTAATTGAACTGGATGAAATAATTCACAYGACTCCTTCAATTTGTAGTCACAAGGTGTTACTTGAAATCACTGCAGTTTAACATTTAACTGCCATCCTTTTCATAGGCGTTTTTTGTTTCTGCCAAAAACAGCTATTTAATGAATGTGGAAGTGATTTTGTCTGTGGGGTTCTTGGAATGTTTTTCCATGTTCCTCCCTTCCTGTTCCCATATTCCCATTGGACAGGGAAGAATGTGTCTGAATTTTTATCTATGTTTTTACATGCCAGGATAAGTGTATGCACAGATGTGGAGAGCTCCTTTGCAGGGCTTGCTTCTATTTCCTGTCAGGTTTTGAATGTAGCTTTCTCTTTTACTAAGACCTCTTTTTGCTAAGGAAAGTGGTCATATGCTTAAAAGTAACTTCCCCTTTTTTTACTAAAAATGTTAAATTTTACTATACTGTTCTACTGGGCTCAATCCTCTGTAATGCATTTGGTGTAGGTCTGACTCTTCTCTGAGAAGGCTGAGATAATATTTTATTTTTCTGTTTCCTTCCAACTGTTGTAAAGTTGTTGTTCATTCCTCTTTAATCTGCGTTTCAAAACAGAATGACAAATAGGTTCCTTGGAGAATGCTTTTAAGGACTTGTGAAAATGTATCTGTATCATCTGGTTTTGGTAAGCAGATGGTTAAACTCCTGGTTAAAAGAAGAAAAGGCTGGTTACTAGAGTGCTTATTAATGAGCCAGAATGAACCAATCAACCAAAACTAAACAACACAACCCATTCAACCCAAAACTTAGTGACAATGAGTTTTAGTGTAATTGATTGTTGCTTAAAACAGACATTTTTAGAGGAGTTATTGTGTGACAATTTTGTTTTTCCTTCTGTCAGACTTGAATATGGCTTAAGAGTTTCTCTAGCTGATGATATATCCAAGTATAGAGGAGAAATTATTAATCATAAGTGATGACAGTGATGTGATTTCTTTGCCTAACTGTGATAAGAGGACTGTAACTCTTAGTCACAGGACACATTTAAGGTACCAAAATAACTGTATCTGTTAAACACATATTTGTTGCTGTCACTCCCCCTGTAGCTTTACTCCTTCATRTAAAGCAATTGGCAGCAGGTGTAAATATATACACAAACACTAGTAGAACGTGACATGCATGTTAAGAAGAGATTAAATTGGGTTGCAGATCATAGTCATGTTACACTTTAATATGCTACTACCAGCTACTTTCTGGATTAATAKACTGAGTGGGCTAGTTAAAACTGCTACATTTCAAGTTCAAGTTTTAGATAATGTAAGTTGCAGGAAGTTTGCAAAGAAAGGAATTCACCTCTCTCCATGATTGTCATTTATATGATAGTGTTGATATAACATAGTTCAGTTATATCATAGYAGTACTGTAGTTGAGGTTTGGCAAGAGTGTATTAATATGGAATTGCCTTTAGAGGAGAGGAATATCTGTGCTTAAGATAAGAATACCAAAGAATGAATAAAAAGACTCAGAAGTAAAAAACTCTGAGTTGATAAATAGGGATAGTGGGCAACTGAGCCCATAGGAAAAGAACTTTTAGCTTTGGTTACATCTTTTTTGTATGAAAACAGACCTTGGGGTATCAGCATGCTTTGATCCCAAACSCAAAATCTGTCCCCCTAATACACTTATATCATTAGGGTTATTCTTGCACAATTTTCACATCTTTTTTTTGCAAAGCTGTCACAGGCATGTGTGCACAAATATATTCATATAAAAAATGAATACTTGTGTATACATGTGCACACACGTATTTATAGAGTGTTAAAGGTAATGCAATGCTGACTCATTATGAGTGGATCAGTAATTGAATGTGAAACATGATTATCCTTGCATAAAAAGTACATTTCAATTACTGAATAATGGGCATGAAATTAGAGCTTTTTCAGAAGCATATCCTGAGCAAGTACTGAACAGTTTTTGCTAGGGGGGGGGGGGGGGGGGGGGGGGGGGGGTGCGCTGACCGGAAACACTCAGTATTTGGACGGAGTAAAATTGTTACATTTTGTGTTACTTAGAATTGAACTTCCAATACATTATATCTGCAGCAGGGTGGTATTTGAAAACAAACGTATTTTTGAAAAAGTGATACAAATGTTGCAGATAGCTCTGTCTTCAGAGCAGCCTTAGACACTGCATCACAGTGTTTGTTGCAGTGTTATGTTGGAGACAAACCAGCCCTAAATAACTTGAGCAAAGTTTCTGCTCTCCTCCTTTAGATAACTAGTGTGACTCTTCATAATCTCTGTTTYGTTGTTTCTGCGATGTTTTACTGCTAGTTAACAGGACTCAACAAGTTGTTGCCTACTTTTAGCAATAGTAGCTCCTCTGTCTAGATTTGAACAGTAGTTACTGTTTGAATGAAAAGATACTCAATTTTGCATAATGTAATTGAATTAGCAGGATAGCTCTGCCARAACATGAAAATAACAGCAAAGATACAGGGTTTTTTTTTTCTCTTGCCAGAACAGCTGACATATAATCTAGGACTTCATATTTCATAATCCAGTTGACATACTATAATCCAGGAATTCTGTACTTGTTAGTTGTTTGGTTAGTTGTTCAGCTGCTTATGGATTGAGTGCTTATTTTCAGAGGTTTTTCCTGGATCTAGCAAAGCCTGAGCCTTACAAGCTATTGCTGGAAAATGTAAAACCTAGTAACTTCTTCAATGAAACTTCCACCAGAATGAAAGATGACCCAGGGGCTGGAAGGTTCTAATCAGTGGGACGAGGGGATGTAGCTGAGACAAATCAACATTAAACAGTAGTTCACTTTAAAACAGGTATGATGCTGGCATGAAAGAGGTGAACAAAAAGCACCTAGAAGCATGACAACAGGACAAATATCATGTTGTGAGTACTGACGAGAGATTCAGTCCTGTGAGCATGCCATTTTGGGAAGAATGGTGAAAGATCATGAACACAACATGAACTTGGGAAGAAATACGGGGGGGGGGGGAACACTGTGTTTGAAGGAGGAATRAATGAGGAGGTTGAGCTTTCCCACTGAGTAGAAACCCAATGAATTGTTCTGCCATCTTAAAAGAATGGCATCAAACAAAGCATTCACAGAGGCAAAAAATACAAGCTCACAAGTGTAAGAAGTCATGTTCCAGAATTTACCTTCCCGTTACTGGCATGACTCTAACTTTGGATTTTCTTGCATCAGTAATAGCTGATGCCAAGAGTCTATTCCCATTGTGCTGTCAAGGTACTAAGACTGGGATTTGCCACTTTATCCTGTTTTTGCTGTAACTGAGCTGCAGCAACTGGCATGGTTGGAAGAGCTAGGAGCTGGAGGTGCTAMTGACACAGAAAGAGCTTTTTATCTGCTGTTATGCTCCTATGCAGCAAGGCCACTACATGCTGAATTAAAGGATCAAAAACACCAGTGGCTGCTTGGCCTGTCTGGACTCTTTAGCAGCCCTGTGGACTAGGACAGAGTTTGAYAGGGAGGACATGGACCAGGAATGGAGGTGTTTAAAGGACAGGCATTCCAGGTCCCTTCCTCCACCCTCTTTGTGACAGTCCAACACTTGGCAAGGTTCTGAGAAATAGCACATGGATGGAGAGTGTMATGTTTAATACCAGCTCTGTTTACATCATGTCACATGGCATTTCTGGTTTAGAGTGGTAGAGACTATATTGTAAACACACAAATATATGTTACTCTTGATATGGCAATCACAGTACACAGTTCAATTACAATACCTTTGTCACTCCCTTTACTGGTCCCTATGAGATATATTGAGATATATTCTGTCATCATGTAAGGTGTCAGGAAGGAATGGCAGAGWTGATGTCAGTTCAAGCCCATTTGCTCTCGACAACCCAGGCAGTTGTCTGGGTCTTACATTCTGTGTATTCATTCTCCCCATGCTGGTCTGGTCTTCACTCTGGGTGAAGAACCTACTGGTTGATCCACTCAACCTTTGATAGCCACTTRTCCAAAACAAAGGCCAACCCATGCTCCCTCTGTAGTGAAATAAAGTCATCTTTGCACCTGCTCTTGTTTATCACTCCCTGAACTTCAAAACTGTATCACCCTTGTCAACGTTCTCTTGGCCTTATTCCATTTTAGGACTTACTGCTCAGTCACATCCATTTAAAACCAACCCCAAAACCTCAACAAACCGAGGTGAGGTTGGCTTAAAGCTTGCAGTTTCTAGGATTTTTCTGTCTAAATAGTGCATCCTTTTTGCAATGGCATGTTTTTATCTACTCCTACATAAGCAATGTAGAAACTGCAAGGTAAAGGAAGACGAACAACCCCAAACTGAAGTTATTCAGAACTACTGTGAAGATTATTCTTGCAGCACATTAACTTCCCAATTGATATGGAATTGACTTGGGCCACTGTTCAGTTTTTCTTCGTGAGATTCTTTTAGTCCTCTGCCTAATGCCAATACTCAAACTACTAATGATATGATAGAGCTTAACTGTGTTTTCCTGTGGGCAGCACATGGATAAATTGTGTTCTCCTAGGCAAAAGCAATCATACATTCTTCATCAGGCAATTTGTTTATCAGGAAACAGTGCTTACTCATTTAAGTTTAGAAAGGATCACCTTATAACAGAAGAATACGTTTTCCAGCTATACAACTATCTTTGGAGCAAGCAAAAGTTTAAATCCTTGGTAACTGGGCTCTGCTTGGTGTGCAAATTCTTATTTTTCTAATGTAGGGTAAGGTAAGTGCAATAAGTTTTTCAGACGGTCAGTATTTTTTGCTGTTGGGTATTCTTTTTAAAACATTAAATTAGGTCATCACCAGTGCTTGTGCAAAAATTAGTGTTCCTAAAAATTTAGTTCTTTTGAGAAGGCTTCACTATTATGGTAAGTATTGAAAAATATAGTCTTTAAGATAATGTTTGTTTCCAAAAATACTATATAATCACAGAGGAAGGAGAAGTAATATCTAAAACCCCATTTTTCTGTTTTACTCTGCCTTTTTCACTGTGTAACAGTAGCCCAGTAATTCAAATACAGTTACTGTTTTCCAAAGTGAGTTCCCTAAAAAGTAGAGTGAGAAATTCTCTATTTTTGAAATTTTAAAAATATGTGTTTTAAGAATCTGTGCTTTAATTAAAGGTTTTCAGGCAGCTGAGTGTGTTGTATTTTTTTCAGTGCACATGAGTCAGTCTGGTACAGATATGATGGCTTTGATCAGTTTTTTTTAGAATACCCGAAATAAAACAGAAAACAAACTTCTGTTTATTTTTAATTTTACACAATTCATGTTTACACTTCCCACTATTCAGTATTTTGTATAAAATCAAATGCAATCTGCAGTATTTTCAAATGAGACACAAATGCATATTGAACTAATTAACATTACAAGATAATATGAAGCTTTATCTTAAAAATACCTTCAGCAAAATAAACTTTCATTCCATCAATCCAAGTTAAAAAAATATGATTACAAATATAAGTTTAAAAATAATCAGGATGAACAGTACTGATTAGTCAAAAAATTTTAGACCTTGATGGCCTGTACATGAGTTTATATGTATGACAATCTGCAAACAATATAAAAACTGCAGTGCAACACACTGGTGAACAAAACATTTGTTTTGTTTTTTTTCTACAATCTCTTACTATTTTAAATCAGCAGTGCTTTCTCTGCTGTCATCCTGGGGCAAAAAGACAAAGTCTGGGTTAACATCCAAGTTAAATTTTGATACTGTAGTGAAAAGTAGCAATTTGACCCAAGATATTACTACATGCTTGAGCATGTAGTATCTTTTGAATTAAGAGATTGAGGGAGAATCCAGCTGTCGCATATTTCAAAGAGGAAAGATCTCCTAACTGATGACAGCAGAAATAACTTCATTCAGCCGCTCTGTTGTACAATGGTGATGCAGCTGCCACAATACATTTCATTTTGGCACATAATATTTTGCAGTTCAGAAAAAATTCAGAAATCAAGAACTTCCTCACCCATGCCCACTCTTCATTCTTGTACCTAAGACAACTTTGGTATGGTACATTAAAAATGTTAGACAAAGTATTAAAAATTCCTAACAAACTAAGCAGTACAATTAAATGGGACACAATGAGGTAATGAGCTATTTTTCCATATAAGGCTATTTGCAAAGTTCAGATGTAAAATTCCTTTGACACGGATGTGTTTTGCACTAAAATATGGGGTAATGACGGGGTATCCTGCAACACATTGATGCCAAACATGCAGTTTTGGTTTAGCTTGAGTTGCTATTGTTTGTGCACTTGCATTACGCAAATTTACTTCTGATTAACCTAAAAGTGCTAATAAATCTGCTGGTTACTTTAAAAGAGGCAAATTCTAATTTAGAATTTGGAAGGGGTAAGAAAGAGATCAATCATTTTTAGGGTAAAAGAAACCGCTAAAAGAAGCAGCTCAGCTGAAAGAAGGGCAAAGCCAAGCACAGTATATATTACTAAATCTTTAAYTGCTTAAATCCCTTCTTCAGCTTTCTAAGATGAAAATTTTGTTCAAAAATAAACAAGATTCATATTTGCACAACAGACATATTATTGTGGTTATCTGTACTTCAGCTTTTGCACAAATGGCTTACTAAAAGACCCCAACCAACCAAAAAAAAACCCCAATCACAATCCTCTCCCAAAAAAACCCTAAACAAACCAACCAAACACAAAACCCCCTAAACTAAAACAACGCCAAAACAAAAACTAGCCCTCCTCAACACCCAAAAAATAAACAAATCAACCCCATTCAAACCCGAATAAATTTTAATTGCCTTATCAGGATGAGATCAGTCCCTTTCTTTTAGATGCTTTTCACCTAGAAGGAAAGGGAAGTTTAAAAAGGCAACAAACAAGAAAAATTGCAGTCTGAGCCTTTGACAGTATTTTATTTTGCTCTAAACCTTCTCTTTTTAATTTGCATTCATATTTGCAGATTTTGACTAAGTGCATGGATCTTACCTATAAGCTTACTTACACTTCACATCCTGTTTTCTCTCTTAATTCATGATGCTCTGAAAATGCTTTGAAATCACTGTGTTATATTCATRCTGGCACTCAAAAATCACCAGCCTAACAGAAGGCTTAGTTTTCATTTAAAAGTATGTAGATTGAAACTAATCACTGAACATTTACATTCAAATAAAATTCTCCCTCTAACAGAGGTGATCTGCATCTTTAAAGACTTCAGTTATTCCATTACTAACATTTCAGATTTCTCCATTTCTTCTACTTTCTACTGTAAGAGTCACTAAATCAACAGATAAYTGAATGATATTTAAGGCTATGTGGTAACAGTCCTCGTCTGAGGGATATGCAGCTATAACCATCTGTTGGTGGACAAGGGTACATCAGTTATGAAATTTCATAATAYGAAAAGTAGTAGGAAAAAAACACTGTAGTCCTGTAGTGGATAAAAGTTTCARTCTCAAGTAGATTGCCCTACGAATACACCATTTTTAACATAGGTGAATTGTAGTTCTTAAAGTGTTAGTTAGATGTCAAAATTTTTACCTGCTCCTGAGCTCCACTACCTCAGTTGCGTGGCAACCTTATTTTCCCTTTTCTTGTGTGCTGCACTCATTAAGTGCCTGAAAGCTAAAAACCAGCAACATCCACATGGAACAGAGTGTATCAAATAAATCTAGGGGGAATTATTACCTTTTATATAAGGTAATCTAAAGTTTCACCTAAAGGACTTGATAGGAAACTAAACAATAGTGATATTTCAATATGACAGCACTGCTTTAAATGGTAAACTGTTTTTCCTCCCTTTTAAAGTCATACCAGATTTAAAGCAGTTGTAACTAGTTCAAAGAGCCATTGGCTGTGAACAACTAAAAATCTGTCACTATTAAAAACAAGTTTATCACTTAAAATCAGTTTTTTCCTAAATAAACCACACAACCTTTGACAATAAAGCACTCTTTGGTGGACAATAGTTATTTTGTATACTCAATACTGCAGCTTCATAAAAAACTTCATACAAAGTAAGAAAGAACAGCCAATTGACACAGGAGAGTACCAATGCTATTAGAAAAAAAAGCTTTTGGGGTTGATTCTCAGACTCAAGTGCAAGACTTCAGCCCAGTCTGAATAGACAACACAGATTTATATACTTAAAAGCTCCCACCATCTTTTAATTTCTGGTGGTCAGCAGCTAAGTGATTGCCATCACAATTTATACACATGCATCATACATACTAGCAAGCCCTCTTTATAATAGAGAGCTTAAATATTTACACCTGAGTCTGAATGTATATAGATTTTGTTGGTTTTGTTTGAGAAAGTGTTAGCATGGTAGAAAAAGGTCTACCAAGCATGTTGACAGTTCATTTTATTCTACAAGTAAGGAAGAGATTGTTCTATTTAATTTTTTGCTGAAAAATAGAGCCAAAGCGATCTTCCTTGAATTGCAGCAAGTCCCCTCTAGTCATATCCCCTTCACTCCTGAATATCCTCTTCAACATTGGTGGCTTATTTGAAATTCCACGCAATACTGTTTTCATCTGTGTGACGGATTGGCTGCTGAAATAAAACATATTTGAGTGAAAAAGTTAACGATTACTTAGGATATATTTCAAGCAAACATTTCTAGCAAGGTAAAATGCTCAAGTGGTACTTCCAAGAAACAAAAGGTAAAAGTCACTGCACATAATAACACAGCAATACTGATTGTCAAGAATGCACAGATTGGTCTGATCACAGAGAATATGAAGAAAATTCTGTTCCATACAGAAATGCAATAATTTCATTAAGTGCATTTGTAAAACATTCCTTTTCTTTTTCTCCCTCTGAGGTATCAGACCATAAGAAAAGTAGAAAGAATAGTGAAGAAACAATTTTTTTTTTTAGAAGTTAAGCTTAGATTACATATAGAAAAGTTCTGAAATATTGCAGGTAGTTTTCAGTATTTGAACAAGGGTGCAAAAGACTGCTTTGTAATACCCAGCAAAGCAATGGCATATGTGATTTTCAAAGTGTATTCTTCTCTTCGTTAGCTTTTGTGATATTTCTCTTTACAGTTTTCATACTTCCTCCCCCCATACTCCCAATTTTAAATGTTGTAGTACCTTAATCTGCATTCCCTTAAGAACCTCTACCCATCAAAATGCGTTTACTGTTTAAAATTTCAACTTACTACAAACTGAACTTTAAATYTGGTCTGTGTGGTAACGTGGAAAAGACTGTTTAAATTGTGTCTTACGATGACTCAGCTGGTTTGGATGTGATGTATGCACCTTGTTAAAATACTGTCAGGAATTTCTCAGTAACAGGCAAATTTACAAGGAAGATGTCTTAACTGGAGGAATAAGGGCATCCACGGAGAAAGACTGTGTTAAGGTTGAGCAATTTCCTGCAGTGATTTCCTGCAGTTCAAAAAAGGTATTATTTTAATCACAAGGTATGTGTKGTGTCCATCAGTACTTTATTTCATAGAAGGCAGCTGACGTCTAGAGATGTTCTACAAAGAAAATGCAGTGAGTGTTATAAATAGGATTGAAATTCCCTAAGATCTCTTTGCAAAGCTGGAATAGTGTTTTAACTGTAAAGATCTGTTTTGACTGAAAAATCATTCTGGAGACAATCTGTGACAGTGTATCCAACAGTCTGAAGGATGAAATGGCAAATGAATTCCCAGCTCTGCAGATTATACTGCATTAGGATGGGTCACGAGTGTGACTGACATACAGAAAGAAGTGACTACAGTGACATGAAGCAGCAACAAATGAGATTGATGTAAAAATGGTGCAAGATGTTTTCACTGGAATATAACGGACAAGAAAATGAAAGAATGAGGATGCGCAGTAATGTCAGAAATTCAGTGAAGTAAATGAAGCCTTGACAACGACAAATGTTGGTTAGGGCATGATGTCAATATTGTAAAAATAATTATTCTCTGCCCTGCAATGCACTTGATCTGGATTAGGTCAATGAATCTAAGTACTAAGAGGTAATACAAACTGCTCATAGTTCAAGAAATGAAATTTAGATGAAAAGAAAAGGCATACTTAAAAAAAGACTGGTACTTTTTCAAATGCTACAGGAAAAATAAAAGGACACCTACAAGATTAACAACGAAGTACTGCATTCTAAGTRCATTAACTTACAGGGTCATACCAAAACACCCTCCAGAGGGACCAGCATCCAATTAGCCCTCTCAGATTATAAAACAATGAAGAAGTCCATAACAGTGACAGAACAAGGACAAATTTGATTATTGGATAGAAATATAAAGTAACTGAACTTTGACCTCTAAAGTTAGAAGAAAAGGAACAGTATTTGGAATGAAGTATTTGGGGTAGAAGTTTTAGCAAGTTCATTAAAATATGAAGGGAGTAATTTATGAAGTTTGATATCAAYTTGATGCTTGGTCTTCAGAGTCATAAATCTGGCAATATACCTAAAGGACTTCTTTCAAAATAATTTATAATTAAGTTCTTTTATGAACTCTATTTTAGGGATGCTGTTTTCTCCTAAGGATAGGTGTTCTCATCTTGCACAAACAAAGGTCAGCTTGGAGAAATGCTTTCCAGGAATTGAAACCTCTTTAGATTACACATATGCATGAATGCAGCTACAAAACATTGYGAGCAGTTTAAAACTAGAAGAAGCATGAAGGATAAAAATGGCAGGCAGAATCCCATCAATTCTGTATGGACCAAAACTGACATGGTGAAAATTAGGCAGAATAGAGAAAAAACTCAACCAACCAAAAGGAAAGCCTGGAAAAATACTACTGATTTTTAGAAAAAGATCTATTTCAGGAAAAATATATTATTTTTTACAATGTTGTTCAATAAATCAAAGCAAAGTCACAACCAACCAAAAATTTTCTGTATAGAATTTACTGCTGCCTACTGACTATTTCCATTGTCTGGCAGAATGAGTTTTTCATAACTTTGCTTCTGTCAAGGTGACAGGATGAAGAAGGAGAAAGAAGAGCTCTGTGAAGTAAAGCTGCAAAAGAACTTAGAATTTTCAACAATATTTATAAATCAAGCCACATAACATAAGAAGTAGTTATGTGCCATCTTTTACTCTTCATAAGTAAAGTCTCTTCAACACCTGACAAACCCAACTGAGAGTTTTTCTCTATGTGTTTAAGACAAATTCCAGTATATTGTGAACAGTGGRAATTGTTTGGTTATTGTTTTAAGCTACACTCGCATGCTCATCTTTTATAATGATCTGGAGAGTTTCCACAGAAGGKTGTGACCACATGCACACACAAAGGTACAAAGCAGTAGTCTGGCCATCYGCTTCTGGGCCAAAAGGCACTTTCAGTCTTGTGTAAACCCATTATAATTTAAAATTTCATTCAGCTTTACCGAACAGGGTCAGTTGAGATTATCAGCCATACTCTCAGAAAAAAAAAATCTTGTTCCAGTATACACATACATTTTATACACTTCACCTTTTCATAACTAATGAATTTCAGATGCTCATCAAATTTCTCCTAGTTTTAACTTCATGCACTAATATTTGACTTAATACTGTGAGCAATTTTTCCATCTCTTGCTCCAGGTGAACAGGTTTTCATGTTACCAAAATCCCTCATCTTCAGTAATTCTGCCTCACATTAGGAATTATTACATAAAATTCTCAATGTTGAAAGACTGAGCAACATAAATAAATTACCTAGGATGTAAGGCTCCAGATTCTCAGTATGTGACATGAACCATGTCATTGTTTCTCCCTTTCCACTGCTAGGGGAAGGAGTTGAACCATGGCAAAGCTCCTGCCAGCAGTGGATACAACAGCTCAAAATATTTGCCTAGAGAACATTTACAGGGTCTGTAAAGAGGATAACTCTCACCTTTCCAAACAGTTTTTTCTTGCAGCAGACCTGGTAGTTCTTTTAGTAATGTCTGTACTGTCAGAAATGCTAGGTTCAGAGGTTTTATTTTTCTGAACTCTGGACTGCAGAATTACTCTGTAAAGAGTAGGAAAAAAGAAAGATTATATAACTGGGAAGTTTCTAGAAAACACTGAAAAGATGGTATTACAGTTGCAATAGAGCTAGCAAGTATCAGCTGGCTTTTCACAAATCATTCTGAAAAGCAAACTCTTCTGCCTGAAACACATCCATCTCTTTCCTAACATCCCTTATGTTATGTTAATGGAAGTTATTTTTAATAGGAGCATAGCATCTTGCTTTGCTGTTTGGGTTTTTTTTGGTTATTTTTGCTTTCAAAGAAAGGATGAAATTAATAGTTTTGAATTTTCTGTTAGATTTTTGGAAGACAAAAAGATCCAAAATTGCATTTTCAATTATGCTAAAAATTTTTAAAAAGTTAAAATCTGAAGTATGCAACAAAACCAAACATTATTTCCAGACTGACACAGAACTGACAGARTAAATTCAGAATAAAACCCAAGTAATTCAATTTGTGGAGATCTAAGTCTTATCTCCTTCAATTAACCATGAGATATTCCCTTCAAATAGGAAAGTCATTGCAAATATTGGCATTTTTCTCTTAGAGGGAACTACTGAGTTTTAAATACTCAAAATTCAGCTTTATGCTGGTTGTGCTCAAATGCTTCTCTAAAAGAATCTATAGCAATATATTGACTTCTTAAATAGGCAGATAAATCCTAATGTTGTTTATGTTAATAAACCAAGAATTCCAGATTGTGAAATGCAAACAACTATTTTTATCCACCAGACAACTGATTCACCAGAAAACCACGTCTTCTGTCTTCCTAAATAACTGTTGTGAAATTATGATACTATGGAGACAGAAAGTAACAACTGGTCAGTGGAGTCCATGGATATCTATTTAGTGCATCATTTTATACAACTATTCTCTAGTCATTCCATCTGTGCCCAAGGTTCCAGCTATGAAAGTATGCAATGTTTTAGCGATTCTGAGCTAAGAGTAACTTAGCTATTACTGTTTATTCCCTTGCTATTATTAGACTCTAATTTTCAGTGGTTTCACTGAGTCCAGTTATATGAGCAGATTACATTAGACTAGAAATCAAAACTTTCATTAAGTAGCATAAGTTACAGTCTGGTCAGTTAATACTCTGAAGAAACTATTTTCACAGAATCCTAGATATGAATACTGAACACTAACTTTTGGAGCAAAAGTGAAGAGGCATATATGGAGTATACTCATGTAACATACTCACCGAAAACAGACATGGAAAAAAACTCCAATGTTTTGATTGTTTTATGTGGGTTTGGTGTCAGAATTAGAAGATGCATTTGAGATTAACAATTTAATCTAAAATACATTCTTTATGCAGTAAAGCTGATGAGCAACCTTATTTTTACTATACACTACTTGATTGTTTAGCAAACAAGTGACTATATAACCACAAATTTCAAGTATTTTAAACTTCTACTTGAATAAATCTCTCTTAATATTTCAGCCTTGCAAAATACTGTCACTTGATTTGCAAATGTTCAAACAAAATATCCAGTTCTTCTGAGGTAAGATRCAAGATTGTAATGACAAATACTACCAAAATGCAATGCAAATTCTATTGTAAACACAAGGCTCTTGAAGCTGAAGGAATTATATAGGAGGCAGAAAAGAACACCCCCAGATACCTTCAACCTCATATCATACTTCTTTAGGTAGAAGAAATTCTTCTAATGAAAAGGTTTTCCTTGCATGTCAAGATGAAAACATTTAAAACCTGAAAGCTCACACTGTTGTTTCTACTGTGATTGTAAAACAGTGTTAACAAGTTTTGGTAATAAATTTTTTTTATACAGCATGAACAAAGTCAGTCTAGCACTCTTTTGACCAAGCATTAAGAAAGAAAGCAAAAATTATTGGAATGTTATCTAATTGTTTATATTCTTTCTCTCATAAACACCCATTTTTTTCTAGACACCAGTAACTGGTCAATATACATGGCTTAAACCCATACATTTCTCTAACATGAACTGAAATATGAGCCAGCAGTGTGCCCTGGTGGCCGAGAAGGCCAATGGTGTCCTGGCTTTTCCTGGGGAATAACATTGCGAGCAGGTCAGGGGAGATGATCCCGCCCCTCTACTGTGCCCTGGTGAGGCACATCTGGAGTGCTGTGTCCAGTTCTGGGCTCCTCAGTACAAGAGAGACAGGGAGCTCCTCGGAAGAGTCCAGTGGAAGGATATGAAGATGATGAGGGGACTGAAGCATCTCTCTTATGAGGAAAGGTTGAGGGAGCTGAGTCTGTTCAGTCTTAAGAAGTGACTGAGAGGGGACCTCATCAATGCGAGTATCTGAAGGAGGAGTGCAAAGAGCCAGACTCTGCTCAGTGGTCCTGAGGACAAGAGGCAATGGACACAAACTGATGCACAGAAGTTCCACCTGAGCACAAGGAACTTCTGAACTGAACACCTGGGCAGGTAACTGAGCATTGGAACAGATTGTCCAGAGAGGCTGTGGATCTTTCTCACTGGAGATATTCAAGAACTGCCTGGATGCAATCCTGTGCCATGTGCCCTGGGATGACTGCTCAAGCAGGGACATTGAGCCACGTGACTTCCTGTAGTTCCTTTCAACATTATCCATTATGTGATTCTGTGAAACACTATGAATCAAGATACCATTTTGCACAAACACTTAAATATTCATCTTTTCAACACATCATAAGGTAGTCGTTACTTCCCACAGAATTCATCCTATCTGTTCAAAACAAAGAAAGAAAATATAAGTTCTAAATGGAACTAAGTGGTGTAAYAAAAATATCCACCATAAAACCAAAAAAACCATAACATGCTTGTCTTTGCTAAAGGGAGAAAAGGAGATGCCTTATAAGATCATCTCAGAGAGAGCTGTGAGCAGGGTATAATCCTTAACATCATCTGCTCTTCAGCTGATATGTCAYTTTAACATCTCAGATATACACATTCATTGAGCTACCCCCGAGTAAAGAAGAAGAATTGAAATTCCTGTAAACAAAACATTTCCTAATGTTTTAGGAAATGTTAGTGTTTCCTAACAGCAAATAAACCCTCCGAGCTGTCTTTGAGCCTGAAAACTGTCAGCTGAGGAGCACAACACYGCTATCACAGCTTTTATTAGAATGATGCTGCATATATGTTAAAGAGAAGAAACTAATGTATGGAATTTTGATTTAGCACAGCCTCACTTGATCGCAGGTTCAATAAAGTTTTTTATAATGGATATGAGATGAGGCCATGGTAGAGGAAATCCTGCCAAAATCTCAGCACAAAAAAATACCCCAARCTATGTAAGAAAAGTATGATCTCAGGACACTACCTTTACTGTTTGGTAGCTGTTCACATAAAATAGCATGTCCTACAATTTACAGTAATGCCAGCAAACACATCTGATGTACACAAAGGTTTCTAACTCCATGGGATATGATAAAAAAAAAAAGGCAAAAAAAAAGCAGACTACAGGATGCTGTAATAATCACACTATTAAATATATATTGTAAGAACTTTTTATCTCCAGTTCATCTGTAATGGAAACATCACTTGGTAGTTCCAATCCTAAATACACACCCAAAATAGCAGACTAGTTTATACACTGCTTTCTTATTCAAGCTAACAGCTTGGTCTTTAAACAAATCAAAAGCTGTTTAAAAGGAACTGCATTTGAGTGAGTAGCAGCATTTTTTAACTCAGTAAAAGGGCAGAACATAGACACACCACCAGGACACAAAAGCCCAAACTCCACAACCCAAAACAAAAACCACAAAATTTGAAGTGCAAGCAATGTAATATGTATTAGAGAGAAATCAATCCATACAACAAGCTTTTTAAAAATATGTGAATTCAGTATCCTAAGGAAGGATGAAGGAAAGAGAGGTAACACAAGTGCATGTCTTCTCTGTCTGCAAAAGGCATTTTAGTCTTGCCAACCAGTCTTGGCAACCTGTCTTACAAGGTCTGCTTAGTGCAATACTGCTTTCTCCTTCAACACCTCATGACTTTTAAGAAAATAGACCTCAGACTTCTACCACTCTACCAAGTCATTGCCAGGCAATAAATTATTGATAATTCTTCAGCATACAGGTAGWTATCCAGCCAACATGACTGCCAGGCTAGCCCAGAGTGATCCATGGTCCTTACTGATAATTTAAACTCTTAAAACACAAGAGACATTAGCTGCAGAATGGAGAGAAAGTTAGCCTAGTTTTTAAGAGAAGTCTAAGTGTTTGCTCTTCTTATACTTGCACCAACACTGTGTGATTGTTAATCTTGAAAATGAAGCAGCAGCACCAGTAATTGGAAATTCCCAGTAAATGGGAATAACCACATAGTGCTTATATCACRTCTACCAACATCAAATACTTCTTTCCTCTAGCAAGGGAGTTTTAAGACAGAACACAGAAACAGCAAGAGAACGAAAGGATGATAGTTGACTGAAATCAATCTTACAGTACAGCAAAACAAAGCACAGATTGTTTCATCTCTTTAACCTGCATTTTAAGTTTAGCTTTTTAGTATCCTTTCAGAAATCCAAGGTCTGAATTCCAGAGACCACCGATAAAAGAAATAGTGCTGCATTCACTGTAAAACTTTGACAAARTTAGGGGAAAAAATAAGCTGAAAGATCTTTATTTCTTTACATGTTTTTTCTCCAAAAGAACACATTAAGATGACCTCAGTGAAGGCTAACATCTCCCAGTTCTCATTCTACAGTTATTCAGTCACTTATGTTAGCAGAAAAAGTTTCATGCTTTTTTAAAAAGTTGCAAGGCCAAAGGTAAGGATGACAGAAAATCCCAACCTTCATGTCTGCCAGGACAGAATATCTTTTCTTACGTAGTACTCTGATGTAAAAGATTTTCTGACCCTTTTTTATTSTGAGAGCACCAAAGTTTCAAGCATTCACCCAAGGTAACCATTCTGCATGAGAGTAGTGATGACAGAGGAGCTCCAGGGAGACTCAGAAGCAAACAAAAAGTGCATGTGGATTTCCTGGCAGTTCCGCATGCTGCTGAAATTTTTGTTTGGGCAAAAGATGTAAGTTGTCATTTGATGAAAACATTGCACCTCTTAAGTAGAAGCAAGGCACAGAAATCACTGCAGCTACTCTGACAAAAGCGGGGTGAAGAAATAAAGGAACTGTTACGCTATTAATACATTTCTCAGCTGCTGAATCCAAGTAACAGAATAAAGGAACGTAAGTAGTCTCCTAAAGCTATAAAAAATAATTGTGAACAAAAGAAGATGAGCCCAGACTAGCAGGGTAAACAAATGAGCCTAAACCTAATACTGCAACCTGCCCCACCTTGTGTTAAGCTAAAAAGGTAATAAGAAGTCCTGTTTTATGCCATAGCATATAATACTYGATCTGTTTGCAAAAACAAAGACCTAGAGACATTTCTAACAAATTCTAATTCTTAGCATTTCGTAAGAATGAAATCGTGTTGGGAAACTAGCCTATTTTGCAAGTTCATGAACTTTGAAGTAAAACTGAAGCTAACATCTGCATCTGCAATATGCAAAGGATAGAATCATATTTTAAAGCAGTACTTTTTCTTTATTACKGATAATTTTGCTTATGAACTTTTGCTTATTTGCAGGAGCATGCAGAGGACAAAAGCTTCAAAACTAAAGATTATTCTAATTATAAGAGCTCTTTGCCTTTGTTCATTGCAAGCCAGCAACAAAAATCACTCAATTATTCCAAATAATATATACAAAAATATAACAAAGCCAGAGCGACAGAATTTATTCTTGCAACAAAGCCAGTAAGAAACATGACATGAAAACATGCATTTATGAGTCATAATAGACAGAAAGTGTGAATATTGTAGAGAAATGGAATGGGACACTTACACAGTGGCTCTCTCTCAGGGGGTCCTGATGGTTACTATGTTCTTAAACCATCTAGACAGAATAGCAGGCTGGGCAGAAGGGAGCCACATACAATCCACCAGATGACAATACTACACAGTGTAGACACCAGCATAGCTAGGAGCCATCTAAAAAGGGGTTGGAGGGGGAAGTAGAGATGAAAAAAATTCAAAAGCAAAAGCTATTGCTGCATTTTAGCTTGTTTCATGTTCTTCAAAAGCATACTGCTCTATAACCTTTGCCAAGCATTTCTTACTATGACTAGCAATCCATGCAGCCATAAACTGCCAAACGTAGTACTCATGTGCTGCTGGAATCAAGGCAAATTTTCTGAAATCCTCACCAAAGTCACCTATTGTCAAATAAAGTCTGTATCACTCTTGAAAGTGCATGCAGGAGCAATACAATMTCTGAGCACTTACTGCTGTCTCTTATGCAGTTGGATCAGCCTGTATTCACACATCCTACTTCACAATCACACATTTTGATACTAAAACATTAGATCAGAGACAGGTACGTTTCCAGAAACAAACAACTTATGTAAACAAGATGATGGGGTGTATTACCTTCCTGTGTAAGAAGCAAAAGCCAATTCATAATCCTTTGCTGCAGGTGCAGAATATTGCTTATTAGAACATATACAAAATATCCATTCAACAAAGCATAAAGAATTTATGAATATATAGTGAACTTCAATGAACATGCTGTACAAATCCCTTGTGGCTTAAAAGTAAATAATGTCTCTAGTTTTCAAAGACTCTAACGGTCCCAGCTTCTGGTGCTCTTACTTTGCTTATCCCCGCCC